ATATTTTGCAAAATGGGATATTTAACTTTTACAAAGATCAAGGTTTATACTTTTATCTCAATTAATCCAAGAAATTAAAAAATGTATATTATATTCGAAATACGCAAATTTGATTGTAAATTGTAAATGATTTAAAGTGAGTTATTACAATAATATAATAATTATGACGGTGTAGTAAAATTTCTTTTGTATTATAAAAATTAATTTTGCCACAAAAGTTGGTAATTTTACTATGTTAATTATTTCGTCCGCTACAATAAACATGCCAACTTTCATGAAAATTCAAGAAATTAAGTTTGGAAAGTCAAACAGATGGGATTGCTTGACAGAATGACCTGCCTTTAATTTCGAACTCGTTGGAAGTTACAAAGAGCTGCACAAGTTTTGGAATTTTTCTGTTTTATGTTAAATAAAGAACAATATATAATTCCATTAATTAAATAAGTTTGTGTGCTAATTTTACATATATGTATTTAGAGAATGCCGTTTTCAAATTTTAGGTAATTATTTTGCGTAGTGTAAACAGAAGTAAAGTAATAGAATTAAATAGCTTTTAGCAGTTTGAAAAATATTAAAAAGTAACGTTCACTGAGATTCTATAATACACGCGCGCGTTTGTAACAATTACATACACATAAGAATCAATCGAAGATTGATCGATTCGCAATTCAGGATATGTTTATTTCATGTATATGCAAGAGAAAAAGCTTTAATCCCAGCTCCGATGTGCAGGAAGGAAAGTCCATATTACATTTTCGAAATACACAGAATCTGGTATTCTTTTTACGGCAGGATGAAGGAATGATAGATAGTATCGCAAAGCTTCCAGTTACCGGTACGTGCAACTTTGTCTCATACATGTACCGGTAGCTTTGGCCCGTAGCCACGCCGACGCGCAGGATTGATGAGCAACATAGTCGGATATTGTAACCGAAATAAGAGATACCGGAAGCTGTCACTCGGCTCAGATGAAGCTGTCGCGCTTATACGCAACGCGCTTGCTTTCTTTGATTCTCGGTCGGATCAAGACTGCTTGCATTGTTCACGAGTATAATTTTGGAAACGGTTTGGTTGCGCTTCCGAACTAAACGTTTTACGGGTCATCGCGGCGAGTATTGATCCCTCGATCTTAGATAGGATCGTTACGTTTATTTTCAGAAGGAACCGTGATGTCCCTATCAATGGTAATACGCGAACGTGCGGAGATTCGGAACTCGCTTTATCCACTATCGTTTCCCCTCTGTACCTTTTCTCTACTATTCGTTTCTCTATTTATCTCCCTCGCCCTCTCTTCGCTCGTTCGAAGCTCTTCATCTGGATTTACATAGATCCCGGGTCGGACTGAAGATTACACATTCGAATATACAACGGTCAGATCTGAGAGCGAGTAAAAAATTCACCGGTTTTCAAATATAATTTTTGGACGCTTCGCAACGGAAGTATAATATGTTAAATCGGTATGCGAATTATTGATAAAGACTGCACGAAATTAGCTTTAAATATGGTACTTGGTTGAAAAACAAGAGATTAAAAACTGGTAAGATGAATTACAGATGAAAGCGGCAAATCGAATTCAGATGACGAATATATGTATGTCTTTTTATATTAAAGATTGATAAAAAGACCAATTTAATCTTATTCTCGCAGTTCTCATAAAATTTAATCACTATTTGTGTTCTCCCAAATACTATTTTTTTCTGATTTTTACTTGAATAATTTTCAATAAGTAATCTAATACAACGTCAAATACGTGATTTGTTAAAAAATGCTCCTTTTTATCTTCACAATGTGCACATTATGAAAAATATTATACTTTTTACAAAAAAATTTCCAACAATCGCTTCGCACGGTTAAGACTGTTGATATATAAGGAAAGCTTACAAGTACAAAAAAGAGCATACTGCTTTCTTGTACAGAATAGAATATAACCGTCGTAAAGAGAAGATTTAAGTTCAATTAAAAGTATTACGGCAGTGTACCTTAAGCAACCTCATCGACTGGCGATGGATTTTGTGTCTGTTTCCAGAATAATTAGCCTTCGATTACCACGATACTATCGATTGATAACATCTTTGCGTGCTGATCTTTATTTTCCATTTACTCGGTTTACCAGAAATCAGATTAGATGGTTATTTAAGGGCACGGGAGGGAGTGTGCACATTATTTTTCATTTCAGTTCTTCATGAACGAAGCTGTATTAACACGTGATTTATAACTTCAATTTAATCTTTATTGATTTGCGGCGCACTTGAAAGATTACTTCATAAAATATAGTACTTTCATGCGAGCATTAGAGTAAAATAAAATTCGATTAATAAAATTAAATTTTTACTACAGGAAATTCGACTTTTTCATTGTTTTTGCAATTACATTGATTCTACAATTACAATCGAATCATTTCGGGTATTTTTTTATGTGCTTTTTCATTGCATTACTAAACAGTTTGGTTTATTATATATGTTAGCGCACGTTGAAGTGTCTTAAAATTTTAGACAAACTGTACATATATGATGAAGATTAAATTAAAATTCAGTTTGCGATTAAGAAATTAGAACTTTGTCTTGTGACCTGGTGATTTCTTTTAAAAATGTCATTATAATCGATTTTATCTTATATAGATGCACATCAATGTATTATTTTATTAATTCCGTTTAGATTTATGTGAATCTTAAGAATTATACCAACAACTTAAATCTCATCTCTTTTAAACAATGATTCTGATAAACAGAAAGCTATTTTACGTACCTACTCAAACATATATGTAAATATAACTTCATACGAAATAACTTTATGAACAAGTCAGCTGAATATTCAGACAGTGTTATCGATCAGATCGTGCGCGAAGAAACTTACATAGACTTTCATTTAGAAAATAGATGCGTCCTAATAAAGTTAAAAACTTGTTTACACGCTTCCATTAGGAATTAGTAGAGGAATAGTGTAGGTGAGAAATTTGATTATTTGAAAGTAAATAAGCGCGCCTGTGTGCATTAAATACCTGCTGCCGCTTTCACACAGCTTCTTTGAATGCGGAGTTCTTAAAGATATAACGGAATTGACATTCGAGAGTTTTAAAATCTCGGTCTAGCAACTCTTCTTTCATATAATTTATAAAAACATCGCAAATATTAATGATAACAACTTTTTTGCGGATATAAATCTTTTTCCGTGTAAAAGAAAGAAAGAAATCTAATTTAAAACAGAAACCTTATGTCAAATTTTACATCTTGCATAAGTTTGTAAAAATCACGAATGTATGAATGCACATTACGTCTCTTTCTTTCTCTATATTTGAATAGTTTATAAAATATGTCAGTGTATTATCATTGACTTGACAGATCCTAGTTATTTCTTCTCTCATAATGGTACATAATTTCTAAAAATTATTTAGATTTGATAAAATTCTATATAACTTTTACGATATAAAATTTTATTTAAAAATAATGTTCCATTATCTAGAAAATTTGATATGACAGTGTTATGCAAATATTTTATACGAATTTGAATTCGTATAATTATATCAATATATTGTTAAAGGCATCACTCATTAAGAGGATATGTTGAATATGTTTCGTTAAATTACACGACGATATCCACAATTATCAAATACGATTTATTTTGCATGAAGTTATCTATCACAGTTGCAATTAAATTTAACACAGTTGCAGTCTGAGTCATCAAACGAGTAAGATTAAGAGGTCACTCTAACTCTAGTGCACAGTTATATTCCTAAATGTGCAACAGTGACGAACGACGTACGGGATACTCATTGTACAGACGGACGTGCGCAATGTATCTGGTCTTGTACACCATCACTGTGTGTGCCGCTCGTCGCGAATCGTGAATCGAGGAACTCGTAATAAAATTGACAGATCATAGTTATTTCTTCTCTCATAATGGCACGTAATTTCTAAAAATTATTCAGATTTGATAAAATTCCATGTCTATTATAAAATTTTATATCGTAAAATTTTATTTAGAAATAATGTTCCATTATCTAGGAAATTAGGTCTGATAGTGTTATGCAAGTATTTTATGTGAAATTGAATATGCAGATATGATATGGGGCAACGTCGATTCTGTTGGGTGAGAAATACTTAAGTACATATTAAATTCCGGACTGCAGCGGTGTGATGATGTACGTACCATACTATAAACTGTTGCTAACTTACTTCGTATCATCACGCGTAGTTTCATAAGTATACTATCTCGTCTCGAAAATTTTCTTTGAAGTAGTAATTGGCTTGCTTGTTAATGGCCTCTTAGAAGTTTCTAAGCTTGACGAGCGGACCGTCTATAAAGCTGAGCTTAATGAAAGGAATTTCGTTACATATTGTACAAACAATCTTGTCATTCTCATAACAATTACTTCACCACTATAATAAATTTCACCGCAAAGTATTTCGTTAACGAGACAAAAAAATCAGTAAGATTTATGTTGCATAATATTATTGTATAATTCACGTCTATATAGAGAACAATATTTTTAATATTTTTAATATTTTTAATATTTTTAATATTTTTAATATTTTTAATATTTTTTATGCAATATAATATCCTATTCGTCTTAGAAACATGTATGTATATGTATATAGAATATTCTTAGACATTCTCGCTTCTAAAATTAGTTCTTATCGAAAGTTAATAAACATGAATTTTTTCGCGCTTATAAATCGAGTTAAATTCCAAAATTATTATATCGTCGTATAGAAACGCTTCTAAATATTTTAAGCCGACTCATAATAGAAGTTAGTTCGAGAATGTCTGCTTTACTCCAGATTTTATAACGGGGTGATAAATGCATACGGTGATTTCAAATAACTTCCTTTTTTTAAATTGCATGCGAGACATTGCAGAATTATAAAGAGTCAAGCTTAGTCCTCGCTTGACCCGCTTACGCTAACTCGCGCCATTCACTGCTGAGTTCCTCGAGTACTTTACAAACTTCGGCGCGCACGTAGTATAAGTATAAGTACTAGTAAGTAAGTAAGTAAGTATGTATGTATACCGCCGATTACGTAGAGTGTTCGCGCGATGCCGTGATACTCAAGTCGAGGACGTTCCGTGTTACAGATTTACCCAGATTCGGCAACCCAGGTTTGAACAATCTCACTGTCTCGGTGGGTCGCGAAGCCATTTTCACCTGCATTGTCGAGGATCTCGGACCATACAAGGTAAGACGCAAATTATAATCCCGACCATCCTATTTCCACGCACGGTTGCAGCTATACTGCTGCGCCGTGCTGCCGCTGCAATTGCACGCCGCGTTGCGCGCGCTGATGTCTCCCTATGCGATTGAAATTGGTTTTGACAAGCGATATACTGTGCAAATTTCGACAGATTACAAAGCGATATTATCCGTTAAATTTTGAGACACATTGTTCCAAATCGAAACCAAGATCTAACGAGACCAATAAAATTTTTATTATTTGAATTTCATAATTTCTCACAGTAATTTTTATTCTTCATAATTAATGTAAATTTAATTTAAATGATATTTTTGGCTAACGCGATAAATATACATGTGAGATAAGAACTAGATAGTTGCAGTCTGTAACAAACGTGCTATGCAAGTACGAATCTTTATCTCTAAATTAAGAAATTACGTTATCTCGTGCTGACATACAAGTGGACAGATATGTCGTAATTTGCGATTTGAAAAATTGACGTTAAGATATGATATTGCCGTGCTTCGAGCAGCACGGCAATATCATTACCAAACTCGTTGACAAAGTTCTAGATGGACAGAAAAGTTAATGAACGGTAGAAATAAATTCAAAGCAAGTGCAAAAGGGGAAGGGGGATTAAACTAGAATCGCAGTGCGTATCTGGGCAACTCCATTTAAGTAGAAATAAAATCCCGCGGGGTGTGAGTTCAGCAGTTTGTTAAGCGGCTCCAGGCCTCTCTCACCCGTCGTCTTTCAGCCGATCGTTTCCCTGTCGTTCGTCTATCTCTCTTCCCTCGTTTTCTCCTTATTTCCCGTCCCGACGGAGGTTGGGCGCTCCTCCTGGAAAATACCCTTTTCGATTCTCCTCTACCTTCTTACCCAACCCTGCCGCGCTCAAACCGCGCGTATAGGAGTTATAGTTTTATAGATAGCGTCGCTCTTCCTCTTCCCCGCGACCGAGGAAATGTTTTGGCGATAAAAATGCGCGAGATTGTTTTATGGCGCTGCAAGGATACGTGTGTGTACATGTGTATGCGTGCCCAGCCGCGTTCGTGCGTTCGAACGGAATCGATGCATTATACTTACGCGGTTGGTCAACGACACCGCTGCGGAAATGAAAACGGCGAGTCACGTCGCTCGTGATGCTCGCGAAAAGCGTTTGGCGCAAATAATAAAAAGCGCGTACCACTTTGCTACGCCGAAATACAAAGGGGTGCGCTTTCGATAATCGATCGACCGACGACGGTCACCGTGGAATTAACGCTTTTTAGCGTGACTCGCTTTAACACATCGCAGCTGCATACGGCATACGTATAACCAATATCGCGTGATTGGCTCTTTACGCCGGCGGTATCGCAATTCTCTCACATTGCTAATTATAAGTTATTAAATTCTTTTGATAGAACACGCAATTAAGTAGAGCGCGAATTTCGTAGTTTTATCATTTCGTCAAAGATACGTAAATACATATTCAAACGAAGAGAGCTTACGTTAGTACGACGACGCTGCTGACATCGAGTAGTTTATTTATATTTCAAGTTGCTACATGAGTAATGGTGGATTTTATGTACAGTGACTTGAGAGAGGGAAAGAGCACTTCAGATATTCTCTGATGCACTGGAATAATAAAGCATCTTATTATAACCTACAAGGTGTTATTATGTGGCAGTACATGATGACTGCGCCAATTCTGCTAATTAACGACAGACATATTTCTTGTTCTTTTTTCGCGTCATTGTCATTTCAACAATTTTTTGTTACGTAGCTATAATTTTAATATTAATTAATGAGAAAACAAATTTAAGAGCCAAGTACAAAATTGCAATGTTCGATTCTTGACATTTTATCTTGATAAGCATAGACAAAAAATACAAAAAGAAACGTAGTTGATTAAAGTATTTAATAATTTATAAATTTAAGAATTATGAATATTAAAAAATGCTGTGAGATTTATTGCTGTTGTTATTAAATTTATAAGTTATTTATTAAAATATGAAGTAAAAGTTTAATCTTGACATGAACGCATAGATACGTCATGTAGCTCATTGTAATTAAAAAACCGTCGGAAACTTTTTACTCGGATTTGATTTTCCAGAATAAATCATGCACCTTGTCAGTGATCCATTATATTAAATTTTGCTGTGACTTACTTTGCAGGCTATGCAGCATAAATTATACAGTAATCTAATCTTTTTATTTTTTGTTAAGCAAATAATTATTTATATGTGTGGATTTACACATCTCAATATATATGTATATATACATATTCAAAATTAATATGTTAAACACACAAATTAATAAGTAAAATTTATAAAATATATGAGTATTATAATTAATTTAAATGTATAATATTTGATACAATATTTTAATGAAAATTTTGACTCATATATATTAAAATACATATTTCTAAAAGTAATATTAAACAAAAAAATATGACCTATTATTTATCACTACTGTTTCAACAAGTATAAATTAAATAATAAATAGCGCCGCATATATATACTTTAGCTTGAATAACGCATAATACATTCATTTGGAAAACTGCATGTTTAAAAGATTAATTTACAACGTAAATTCGTTGATAAATATCTTATATTAATATTAAGATATAGATTCAATTATTTTGCAAGAATTAATACATTTTTGTCCAATTCTCATCGTAGAATAGGATTTTTATCAGATATGCAGTTGTAATATTTTTATTTCTACCGTACTTTATGAAGCACGGAAATAAGCCGCGTGCTTTAGGAATAAAACGATTTATGTATTATCCTGACTTTGCGGCAAATTTTAAAATTTCATTAAAGGGTCGAAATTGCTTCCTGCGGAAGTGGCAGTAGTAAGGAAAGGAGGCACCCCAACGAAGTATTTTTACGGTCCTAAACCTAATTGGAGCTGGGTCTTCAAAACTCACTGGGTTTCGCGGAGATTAGCGCGCGGAGAATTTTTCTCTCTTTAAATAATCATGACTTTCAACACTATGTCAACGCGTATCCTTTATTCCATTATTTTTTATATTTGCCAAAAGCGAAATTGTGTAATACATACATATATTACACTTTGAGACACCGGGGGACACTATGTATATTTTATATTATTTTTAAATCTATTCTCTTTATAATATTAAAATAAAACAAATTGGATTAACTTACCCGTGTGATACGCAGCAACGGAGTTGTTCAAAAATTGATCTGTAACATACAAAGTACATCAAAATTATAGCAGCGCTCAAAATAATTATTCGAAGAATCATTATTATGCACATTAAACTTTTACTCACTTTTATGCAAATATCTAATTATATATTTGTATCTAATAAATATTAAAAATTGCAAATTTTTACTGAATATTTCAAAATTTCTATGTGCGACACATTACACAATATTTTACGTGTAATATTTTGCAAATAACAGAAAATAAATGATTGATTACTTACTCTGAAGTTGCTCCGCTGGCGCCCGATGCCCTTTCTGAGCCTCCTCCTTCTTTTAATTCTCCTTGCAGTTCTTCCTTGCACTCACACGCGTTTGCAACGCGAATACGATAATCGCATGATGTTTTAAACGGCACTTCCGACGCGTACTTTGTCATTCGAACAAAATAAAACTCGAATATCATTGCATAAATCATACATTTGACACTACCGAGTCCGTAATAAATAACGACGGAAAGAGTAAGATGGAAAACTACAGAAATTAATAAGGATAGTGGAAAGGATAATGTGCCGATGCAGGACAATTTGCTCTTTACGAGATGTCGCCGTACGAACGATAAAGGCGCAATAAACATATCAAAGACTAAGTCGCACCGATTCCGATTTGGGGGAATGGAAGGAGCAAGAAATAACAATGTGTGATCCGATAGCAAAAGAAAGAGAAAGAGAGAGAGAGAGGGAATATACATAGATCCCGCACGAAAACAACCCCACCAAATACTGCGAGTCGGTCTCGAAACTCTTAACATTAGAATATTTATCGAAATCGAGTTGAAATCAAATTTTCGATAAATATTTGATAAATACTCTAATGTTAAGAGTTTCTCGGGCCGACTCGCGACGTTTAATGAGGTTGTTTTCGTCGCCTGTAGCCTGCGTGATCTATATCCCCTCCTCTCTCTCTTTCTCTCTCTTGCGTTAGGTATCAGAGTGCATATTGTTACATTTTACTCCTTGCATTCCCCCAAATCGAAATCGACGCGACTTTATCTCATTTATATGTTTATTGCGTCTTTATCGTTCGTACGGCGGTACCTCGTACAAGGCCGATCGTTCCGCATTGATGCGTTATCGTTTCCAATAAAACTTTCCTTATTATTTCCCGTAGTTTTTTATCTCGCTCTTTCCAGCGTTAGTTGTTACGAACGCAGCAGTGTCGTACGTGCAATCTGTGTGATAATATTCGAGTTTTACTTTGTCCAAAAGACAAAATACGCGTCGGGAGTGCCGTTTAAAGCATTGTTCGATTTTTATATTCGCGAACGCGTGTGAGTGCCTTGAAGGACTGCAAAAAGGACTGAGAAAAGAAAATGGTTCAGAAAGAGCAACGGGCATCGGCAGAGCAACTTTAGGATAAATAATCATTTTTTTGTTATCTGTTATTTGCGCAAAATATTGCACGTAAAATATTATATGTATCGCACATAGAAATTTTGAAATATTCAGTAAACGATTTGCAATTTTGGATATTTATAGTTATTAGATATAAATATGTAATTTGTTATTAGATATTTGTATAAAAGATGAGTAAAGTTTTAATGTACGTAATAATGATTTCTGAAGTAATTATTTTGAACGCTGCTATAATTTGAATGTACTTTCTATATTACAGAACAACTTGTGAACAACTCCGCTGCTGTGCATCGTGCCGGTAAGTCAAATTTGTTTTATTTTAATATCATTAAGAGAATAGATTTAAAAATAATGTAAAATATACAATTTTAATATACATATTAGTTTAGTAAATATGGATTGTTTTTTTATTTTACTGTACAAAAAAGGAATACGAGAA